TTGTAATTTAAAAAATGTATAACTGATATTGTGTAACAGGAAGAAAAGGTCTAAAAGAGCAGGGGAATTGGCAGGGGTAGGGGAAGGGAAAAAAGGGAAAGGAAAAAATATGAGAAGAGGAAAAAAATGGAAACAAGGTCTTTGCAAATAGGGAAGGGGGTGGAGGGGGTGAAGGGAGGGCAAGGGAACGGGAAAAAAAATAAGAACCGAGAGACTCAAGAGCCCAATGATGAATGTAACTGTATTTTATACCTAAAATGTACCAATAAAGTTAATTGGCGGGGGGGGGGAGTTCATTGATAAAAACTTTTGTGATGGGAATATTGCCTTTTTGGCTTAGGAATTATTAACCATTCTAGAGTTCCTAGGTTGGAATATTTTATAAAATTTATAAAACAGAATGAAGAAAGGCCGAAGCTTCTCTTCCTTTGAAAGTATTGATGTTTGTTTTTTTCTTCCTACCCAGGCTTCAGTTGTATTTCTTACATGGTTGGCACATAGGAATTTCATTTCAGACTAATAGCATATTTGCTACAGAAAATATAGATTTAAAGATCAACAAATTTAGCCCTGGGCCAGGGATTTAGCTCAGTGGTTCCGCCACCTGCCTCGCAAGCGCAAGGTCCCGAGTTCGATCCCCGGTACCAAAAAAAAAAAGCAACAAATTTAGCCTTGGTTTTACACTTGATCTTAGCCAAAAGGCCGAGAAGTGATTAGCCTTGGTTTTAGAGCAGTGTCACCTCTTCAAAACCTTGTCTAGAAAGTACCCTCAAAAATAAGCCTGGGGCCAGTGATGTAGTTCAGTGGTGCTGTGCCTGCCTGGCAAATGCAAGGCTCTGAGTTTGATCCCTGGTACAAAAAAGGGGCGCAGAATGGTGAAAGATTTCTAAGATTTATTTTACATAGTCAAGTTTCCCTATATTGTGAATTATATAGGTGGGCAGAAGGATATATCAGAATTCATTCTCATTCTCTTGCTCTCATTTTTGGTGATACTGTAGATTGAACCCATGTTATAGAAGCCCTTGAACCATTGAGCTACATCTCCAGCATACGTACACTCAAATATTTTTACTTTTTGAGTCAAAGTCTCACTAAGTTGACTGGGTTGGCCTCACACTTGCAGTCCTCCTGCCTTAAGTCTTCCAGGTAGCTGTGACTTAAGGGTATGTCCCACCATATCTGGCCAGAATGCTTCTCAGGTGCTATGCAAAAGATTCTGGTGAGAAAAATGTGCCATAATTATCTCTCTGTACTAGTGTACCTAAGTAATGTAGGAGTTAATTTTCATTCCTCTATGTCACTAATAGGATTTACAAAATAGGTTTAAGTTATATCAGTATATTTGTATGTATAATGACATAATTTTTAAACACACACTGCATACAAAAAGGATTAAATGGTTTTTCAAGAATTTGTTTTTGTTTTGTTTTAGTTGAGCAGTCCAGAGAGTAGCTTGACACCACCTCTGTCAACCAATCTGCATCTAGAGAGTGAGTTGGATGCGTTAGCAAGCCTGGAAAACCATGTGAAATCTGAACCTACAGATATGAATGAAAGCTGCAAGCAGTCCGGGCTCAGCAACCTAGTTAATGGAAAGTCTCCAATTCGAAGCCTCATTCACAGGTCAGCAAGGATTGGAGGAGATGGCAACAACAAAGACGATGACCCAAATGAAGACTGGTGTGCTGTCTGCCAAAATGGAGGGGATCTCTTGTGCTGTGAAAAATGTCCAAAGGTTTTTCATCTAACTTGCCATGTTCCAACACTTCTTAGCTTTCCAAGGTACCAGTGAAGTAATTGATTTTGTTATTATTTTCATAAGCCAAAAATATAGCAGAAATTTGTAAGAGAAAATGGCCTTCTAAGCAATGCACAATATTTCTGTAAAACAGTTGATTATTTCTTTGGTATTAACTTTCAGCGAAACTATTAACAGAATGATAAAATGTCCAAAATTTAATGGAACATTATCGATAGCTTTCATCTCCTGGCCTTCAATTCATATTCATTGTATGCAAATTAGATAAAACAAAAGAAGTGAGGGCTGGGGGGGGGGGTTCTGTGCTGAAGAAAGTCTTGTTTTTTATTTGATTTGATTTGATTGATTGGTGTGTGTGTGCTGAAGATCAAACCGAGGGCCTTGACATCCTAGGCAAGTACTCTACCCCTGAGCTCTACACCCTGAGTCTCAGAAGTTAATTTGAAAATCTGATGCTATCAAGCTTAGTAGGGATTACAATAATTTGAGGCAGCTCTTTTGGATCATGCCCAAAACTTAATTTTTCTAAAGTTTGAAAGCTTTCAGAAAGCATTGTAAAGGAAAAAGCAAGTCCTTTGTAAAATTACTTGCAGTGTCTTGGATTTTTGGAGCACGAATAGTTTCCTCTTTACCTTGCAAGCAGTTAATTGGTAGTGTCCCTTCCAGCACTGTGCAGATTTCTCAGACTTTTCCTGTTACAAGGTGGTAGGGGTGTCTTTTCATTCAGTAATTTTGAAATGGACAGTTAGCAAATTCCTTTTGCAGATGAGAACAATGTGGAATAAATATAAATAAAAAAGAGATTGGGAGGAGAATATGAGCTTTGTCTTCAGACTGACCTGGTGGCTGCTAAGTATGGTTTTAAGCTTTAAAACATTCATAGGTGAGCACACAAGGCAAGCTGATGATAGCAGCTAGTAAAGTAGAACAGATATGGTGGGCTAAGTCATAAAACGTATAATCTGGTTGTAATTCTATAGTGAACACAGATGGGCAGCTCACTACTTTCTAGGGATCAGTGTCTGTTTCTGTAAGCAGTAGAGTTTGGTTTAAAAGAACTCTTATTTCCTCCCTTCATTTTAATCCCCAGCACCAAAAGAAAAGAAAACTTAGTAGATAAAACATAAATAGTGCTAGAATGTTTTTCTGAATTATAATTCTTAACTAAATCTTAGAATTTATAATAATTTTGCTGGAGATATAATAAAGGGGCTTCTTTTTCTTTATTCTTTCAGGAAAAAAAACATGTTGGCACTTTGGTCTTGAAATTAAGGCTTAATGAAATTTTTCTTTCCTTTGGGTAGTAACATCTACTGATCCATCATGATTTTGCTGATGAATGCTTTCCTTTAAAGATATAACTTTGGAAGAAACTTTAAAGCGTTGATACAGACAGATCAGTTGGTACAATCCGTAGATTTTTTTGAATGTATACATCTATTTAGGTGTGTATTTCTGGTGTGTGTATGTGTGTGTCTGTCTAGGGAGAGAGACAGAGAAAGTAAGTCATTTTGGAATTTCTAATTTTATAGAAATCCTGATAAAAACAAAATACAGACTTACCTGAGTTTTGCATATATGCTTGTGCTTGCAGGTATGTGTTTGTGTATTCAGTGTTTTGTTTGCAGTATCAGGGACTGAACTCCGGACCTTGCACTTGCCAGGCAGGTGTGGCACCAGTGAGCTTCATCCCTGGCCCCATCTGTTTTTTGACTACATAAAAAAAGAATGGATTTATTGGCATATTTAACTTAATGTTAGCATGATTTTTGAGTTTGTTTCTTTGTTTGTTTGTTTGAGACAAGGTCTTGGTATGTAGTTCAGGCTGACCTTGAACTGGCTCTGTAGCCCAGGTTGGGCTCAAACTTGTGATTCTCCCTCCTCAGCCTCCTAGAGTGCTGGGGGTACAGGCGTGCGCCACCACACCTGGCTTGTTAGCGTGTTTAATGCATGTCAAAACAGCACAAAAGACCTAAGGAACTCCATATCCTCTACTCTTTTCTAATTTTTTGTATCCTCTCCTCTTTGGATTTTTGTTTTTTTGTTTTTGGTTTTTTGAGACAGGTCTCTATGTAGTTTAGGTTGTTCATGAACTCATTATGTAGCCCAGGCTGGTCTCAAACTTGAGATGAGCCTCCTGCCTCAGTCTCCAGAGTACCAGGATTATAGGTGTGCCCCACCACACCTAGCTACTCTTTGGTTTTTTGAGACGGTCTCACTGTGTAGTTCAGGTTAGCCTTAAACTCAATGATCCTCCTGCCTCAGCTGCCTGGGTCCTGAGATTACTTGTGTGCATCCCCACACCCAGCTCCTCTACTCTTTTTTAACTGGGGAATTAGGTCCATGTGATGATAATGCAGGGACCTGAAAGAATTGGTTTTAGGCCTCATGCTGCAGGTACTGATCAGCAACTTTGTACTGTGCTTAATAGAGTGATGCCATTTTATATTTTTCCACAAAGTAATCGCTTGGGGATGCCTGGGAAAAGGTTCAGGAAGTTTTTTGTTACACACCTTAAAAGATTTGAATTTCTCTTTTCCAAAAAAACTGGAAACCAAACAAAGCAAATCTAGAGACTTGAATGTAGTAGGGAACTACCTTTTCTATAGTAGCCTTTCTTAATCATTGCATGAACTGATCATCTTTTTCCTTCTTTAGTGGGGACTGGATATGTACATTTTGCAGAGATATTGGGAAGCCAGAAGTTGAATATGATTGTGATAATTTGCAACACAGCAAGAAGGGGAAAACTGCACAGGGATTAAGCCCAGTGGACCAAAGGGTAAGTGTCAAATAGGTTGATTTGTCACTGGGATTCTGTAGTTGTCTGCCCACCCCCCTCCACCCCCGCCCATGTAATATACACGTAACCTGATACAGTTTTACTTTTCAGATGTTCAGATGGTATATTGATGACATCTAAAATCTTCCATCTAGCTCTGAGCTCTAGACCTTTAGATTCAGCTTCTTCAATCTTGCTTTTTGTTTGTTTGGTGTTTTTTTTTGGTACCAGGGATCGAACTCAGGACCTTGCGCTTGCGAGGCAGGCAGCGGAACCACTGAGCTAAATCCCCAGCCCTAGCTTCTTCAATCTTAATGTGTCCCCCCAAAAAATCTTGATTTTTTTTTTTTAATCCTCAGAAAATAGCAAATAACATTAAAAACTGTATTCCTTCCTTCATTAGTAAATGGAAGTACCATTCACCTTTTGCTTATACAGTGGACCCCCGAGTTACAACCATCCTGATATATGAACAACTTGAGTTATAACCAGAATTCTAGTTTAACTTAGGACCAAAGTCTTGAGTTATGACCTGAATGCCAGCTGCTTGTGCTTGCACATGGTCTCAGATACAGATTTGACCCTTAAAGAGTTCTGGAAGGAACATTACAACATCCTTTCATATGTGGGGTTAACTGAGAAATCCTGAGCCAGTGTCTCTAAGGAAGCTGAGATCTGCCTGTGTATAAGAGAGAGACTTTGAAGGCTGTGCAGAGGAGCCTGAGCTTTCAGTTGACCAACTTGAGTTAGAGCCAGCCCTCGTGAATGAATTGAGTTTCTAAGTCAAGGGTTCACTGTTCTAAAAATCTATTAGAAATGAGGCATGACTATGATACCATTTTCTTACTGCCCCCTACAGTTACTATCCTAGACAACCATCATACTCAATAATCTCCTATCTGAACTATTATAACAATTTCATTACTCTTCCTGTTTCTTCTCTGTAGTTTGCTTTTCTATATTGAACACTTTTTTTTTTGAGACAAGGTCTCACTGTGTAGTTCAGGCTGGCCTCGAACTCAGAGGAGATTCTCTTGGCTCAGCCTTCTGAGTGTTGAGATTACAGGCAAGAGCCACCACACCCAGCCTACTCTTTTTAAAAAAGAAATAAATCACTTCCTTGCTTAAAATCCTGTAGTAGCCTCCCATATTAAAAATGAAATTCAGAATCCTTTCCTCTCTTCAGAGTTCTGTTGATCTGTGGTCTGATTTTTAAAAACAAAAGATCTTTTACATAGTACTGTGGTGATTATACTTTTTAGCTCTGATTTAATGTGTATACTTGCAAAATCCTTCCTCCACTGTCTATGAAGAGCAGATATGTTTTTAGGATGTCCAAACTTACATTAAAAGGGGGTTGAAGCAGGGTATGGTGGCAGGTCCCTGTAGTTTCAGCACTCAGGAGCCTGAGATAGGAGACTGAATTGAAGACCACCTGGACTATGCATAGCAAGACCCTGTCTCAAAAAAAAAAGTTTTAGTTAATAGAAATTGACAAATGTAAACTGCATTTCAGTTGTGTAAAAAAGATTATTTTTAATTGGATACAGAAGAGAGAGTTTTTATTTATTTTGAATTCAAATGTAGAGTTATTTGAAGAAAAGGGATAATAACATTTGTCTTGCCTGCCTCAGAGAATTACAGTGAGATGCAACAGTGGTAATTTATTTACTTATTTATTACCACAAAGTGCTATGTATTTCTTTGACTTCCTTCCATATGGATAAAAACCAAGAGTAAATAAAAGATAAATAGACAGAAGCGCACTTATTTAAAGTAGAACTGAACATAGTCTCAGTTAAATGGGAAGCAAGATGTTTTTCTTTGAGTTTATGTATTTAGTTAAATAACTAGTATATTAGGAGGCTGATGTTCAGTTCGCTGTGGTAACATTTTATAATGATATCATTATTACCCTCAAGAATATCTTCTTAGGGATCAAAATACTTTATGTGTCTTCCTGTTCTTTTTTGGACCAGAAATGTGAACGTCTTCTGCTTTACCTCTATTGCCATGAATTAAGTATTGAATTCCAGGAGCCAGTTCCTGCTTCGGTGAGTTGCATCCAGTACTGAGTATAATACTTGAGTATAATACTTGAGTATAATACTTGAGTCTGAACTCTGGCCTTAAACTGGGCTTGTGTTAAAACGTAGGCTTCCTGAATAAGCTCCTTGACCTCTCTGCGACTTCATACCCACCCCCTCATCTTTAAAATTGTATTTGTAATTGACAAACAGTTGTGTATATTTCTAGGGTACAATTTGATGTTTTGATCTATGTGCACATCATACATTCAGTCAAGCTAATTAACATATCCATCACCTCAGCAATTCAGCTGCTTTTTTTGTAGTGAGACTATTAAAAATCCTTTTTAGCAATTTTGAGATACACAATACATCAGTATTGACTATGGCCACCATTTAGTACCATAGATATAGTAGATCACTAAAATTTAATCCTCCAATCTAACAAATTGAATACCTTTTGATCAACATTTTCTCTTGCCTTCTTTTCCCTAGATTCTGGTAATCACCTTTCTTCTCTTCTTCCCTTCCCCTCCCTTTTTCTTTTCCTTTTCCTTTTGGCTTTTTGAGACAGGGTCTCACTATGTAGTTCAGGCTTCAGGCTGGACTTGAACTCTCAATGATCTCCCTGCCTCAGCCTCTGGAGTGCAGGGATTCAGGTATTTGCCACACCTGGCCCACCTCTCCCCCTCCCCCCTTCTTTCTTTCTATTATGCAAATTATGGAGTTTGCTGTGATAATTTGATACATGTATACATTATGTTATGATTCTGATACTGTTTTTAACCTCGTTGGGTTATTCTGAAGATTATATAAGATAGTCAGTGTAAAGTTCTTAATATAGTATCTGGTAACATAGTAAATATTATTTAACCATGAATTTTATGAGAGCTAAATGGATTATAATTCGTTAAAATTTTTTTTCAGAAATTTTGTGACTTTGATGAGAACTTAATGTAATTTCTATTTTTTTTTTTACTTTTAAGATCAACATTAAAAAAAGATCAACATAAAAGAAACAATTATAATGGAACAAGTATTGAAGCAGAAGTCAGAAAATTTGTTCTCATGGTTCTGCTATCAACCAGCTTTATCAGTGGGGAAATTGCATACTTTGCTGGCTTTGCTTTTTTAGCTGTATAATAGGAGTGTTTGGCTAAATTATTTCCAAGATTCTAGTTCTGTATCTTGGAGAGAAAGTAATCTCTAAATAGTAATTGAACAAAAGTATACAATTAAAGCTTTCATATTGACTTTGCTTGTTACATAGCCAAGATTAAGATGGAGACGCCCAGGAAATTTTGCAAGTCAGTAGTGTTCGTTTATCCTATAGGAGGCTTTTATAAGAAATAAAGGCTCTAAAATATTATAATAAAAGAAAAACCAGAGGTTCTTAATTTCTATTAAGTAGATTTAAAGTGTGTTACACGTATTTCTATTATTAGATAAAATATTATAGATCTGTTATAGACCTGTTGTAGAATTTTAAATGATAAATTGTTTACTTGGTAGGCTGAAAACGGAATTTTAAAGCACCTTTTAAAGACCTTTTAAAAAGGTGTAGACAGATGGATGTTTTGCATAATTAGTAATCTGATTCTAGAAAGTCTTTCATCTTTAAGTTCAGGAATTTCATAGTACATGACTTTTAAATGTCTTCATAGAATACTGTATATCATTAGTGTACATATTTCATAATTTTTTTTTCTTTCCTTTCACAAAACACTTCAGGAGTCATGAAATATTTATTGATGAGCTAAATGTGGCCTTAAGTCTACTGGTAGGCTACCCTAGCCGATTGCTTTCTTTCCAGATCTGCTTATTACAGATAGGACTTTTGGGACTTTCAATAACCATGGAGAGTGGTACATACTTTGCAGGATTTGGTTTTCATGATAGATTGGGACAAAGGATTTTCAAATTAAACAGTTTGGCATTTTGGAGAGCTCTGATCTACTCTTATTTATTTTAGATACCAAACTACTATAAAATTATAAAGAAACCAATGGATTTATCCACCGTGAAAAAGAAGCTTCAGAAAAAACATTCCCAACATTACCAAATCCCAGATGACTTTGTGGCTGATGTCCGTTTGATCTTCAAGAACTGTGAAAGGTTTAATGAAGTATGTTAGCTTCCAACCTATAGCGTATTAGTTTGTTAGTTTTGTTTGCTTGTTTCGATTTTTGGGTTTTGTTTTTCCTGCTGAATGAGTTTTCAGATTTGATTAAAATTTATTTTCTGCTTCAGTCCTGGCAAAAGTAAAATTTTATTTTACTCACAGCTCCAAAGAAGAAAATTTACTGTGTATAATTTGGAGTATATGCTTAAATATAACACATTAAGAATTATTATAGACTGTCCCTTCTTAAATGGTCTAGGGTTGGTTTAAGTATGGAAGGTAGTCTGAAGTAAATATTGTGTAATATGATTATAAACAGCTCGCATTCTGAGTGCTTCTGGAAAAGGTATTTTCTGCAGTGTTCCAAGATTTTATTATTGACCACGTAAATGTAGTCTTAAAATCGCAAGCTTTTCTCTGGTGACTCATCTAAAACAGTAGCCAGAGAATAAGGTGGATTTTCTGATTTTAGCAATGTGACTTTCACTTACTTTGTTTCTTGTCTTTGCTTTTTGTGGGTAAGGATAAGATATCCATTTCTCAAGAAATGTGATACATGCTTTTGTCAAGGGAATTAATTTTTAGCTATATATGGGATTAAATCAAGTCTGTTATTGTTATAGAAGGTTTTCATTATGGGAGAAGAAAATAGAATTGGATGAGAATCCATAAAATCTTCATAAAGACTAATACTAAAGTCTTATCTTTTTTGCTGATAAAATGTGGGTGTCATACGACTATTACTAAAATAAATCACAGTGAAACCTTTAAAGTCTACCAACAGTTATCTCTGGAAGTGTCCAGGTGGCATTTTATATTATTTAAAATTCTTATCCAGGCATGGTGGCGCACACCTGTAATCCCAGCATTTGGGAGGCTGAGGCAGGAGGATTGCCATGAATTCAAGGCCAGCTTTGGCTACATAGTGAGTTCAAGGCCAGCTTGAACTACATAGCAAGACCCTGTCTCAGAAAACAATCAGTCAACCAATAAAATTCTTAAAAGGTGAAAAACAGTACACCAGAAAGTAAATTAAAAATTTAGAAAATGCAATTTCTTTTTTTGTCTTATTTTTTTAATGCTGCTAGATGTTTTCAAATAAATATGCTTTCATGAACTACATATAGTTGACAGGAAGGCTCATTTTACCTGATTTTTTAATAGTTAAATAATTTGTGGTTAACATATTACCATAAGGGTAGAATTCGGGTTGTTTTATGAAAATTTTGAGAGTTTTTAAGATGATATTTCTTTTATCATATTTCATAAATCTTTTTCTCTTGAGTCGATTGATATATTTAGACCAATTTTTGCTAAGGTTGACCTCACTAATTTGGAATGAGACAACTATTGAGGTTTCTCAAAAGCTTTAGTAACAGAACTTTATAAAGAAAGTGAATCTGAATCTGTGTTCTATATAATTTTAGAAAGCACTTAATCTGGTTATAGCAATTTGTTCTCCCTAGTATGGTAGACTTTCGTCACCAATCCTATGCAGTCTTATAACTTTAGAAAGGATTATAATTTCCCTTTTTTTTTTTTTGACTCTGGTATCCTTTTTAGATGATGAAAGTTGTTCAAGTTTATGCAGACACACAAGAGATTAATTTGAAGGTAAGCTTTTCAGACCATGCAAACTTGGTGAAGGAAAGTATATTACCAATAGGTGAATATTCCTATCTTTTGCTTGCAGGCTGATTCAGAAGTAGCTCAGGCAGGGAAAGCAGTTGCATTGTACTTTGAAGATAAACTCACAGAGATCTACTCAGACAGGACCTTCGCACCTTTGCCAGAGTTTGAGCAGGAAGAGGATGATGGTGAGGTAACTGAGGACTCTGATGAAGACTTTATACAGCCCCGCAGAAAACGCCTAAAGTCAGATGAGAGACCAGTACATATAAAGTAAAATAACATGGACTTAAATCAGTTGTTTAAAAAGGAAGAAAGAAAGCCTTTTATTTAAGGGTTGCTGGAATAAATCCTGCCTTTACTGGGCATCTCCTTGAAGAACCCGATAGCTTTTACACAGTATTAGGTTGAAATAATGGACAGAAAACATTCTCGTGAAGAAAGATGAAGATAATTCCATTTGCAACTTTAAAAACAAGAAAAAAATGATTTTTCAGGATTTGTTACTAAAAAGGATATTTCTTTGTTAGAAGTGGCATGTGTTGATGATCATGTGGTATTGACTGGTGCAGGATACTGGGTGTGCAAGTAAACACATAAGGCTCATGTTGCTTGATAAATTGTCTTTTTGGACTAGACTGCAGTTATTAAAAAAATTTTAAGCATCCACTTTACACACATAGCATACTGGGTTTTTCTTGTTTAAAAAGTAGCTCAGATTTTATTTAATCTCAATGGAGACATGCATTGAATCATGCCATTATATTTTTTCTCATTTTCATACTGTTGAGCCTTCATTTTTAAATTAGTTTAAAGAACTCAATAGTACTTTTATTTTCTGTTTTATGCATATGATTTAGGAAACATGAACATTTGTTTTTCCCTCAGTGATCTGCTAAAATAAAAATGGTAACGTTTTAGTAGTGGATCATATAGAGAGTTATAGTAGTCATTTCCAGAAAATACTTCACACAGCTGCACTTCCCAGTCAAATCATGTGATCATAACAGTTATTCCTATGAAAGGCAGAATGTTTGTTTTAAAACTAATCTTGTTTTCTGTACATTTAAATTTGATTGAGAAGGTGACAACTGGCTCTTACCCAGTCTTCCTTCATAACAGTTTTCCAATAGACCACTATTGGCAAACAGTAATCTGTCAGCTACCAAATGTGTAAAATTTTCTGTATTTCACTTTGTCTTATTTGTAAATAATGAACTAAAACTTCTGGCAGATCAGCAACATTTGCTGAGGCTTTTTTTTAAGCTAATGTGTATTCTTACTAATGTTCCTATCAAGAATGGATTTGTAATATATGCTGTCTATTTCTAATGTTCACATTCATATTTTGAAGTTCTATCTTATTTTAATAGAGAACAGACTTCTCAAAATCTTCAGAAGCAGCTTATTGAAATATCAAAATATTGAAATAAACCCGGTGGGGTTAGATTACTCATCTGTCCACCAAGTGGGACATTTGCATGGACTGGGGTCTTAAAGGACTTAGAAGAGACCTGTAAGTAAATCCTGAAAATGAGCCAATCCCCACTTGAATGGTTACTGGAGTAAACCCACCTTTCCCTGATTACCATACCCGAGGCAGATAAATCAACTTGGCTCTGGTTCATTTTTCTTCTCATTTGTGATGCTGACATTCAAGATGTGTGTTCTAGACTGTGTACAGGCTTCTCTTATGTTGGATTAAAAATTTTAGTCCTCCTTTTGTATGGACACATTAGAATATAAAGTGACCAAAATAGAGGAATTTGCCATTAGATATTTTTCAGATGTCAGCAGATTTGTGGCAAATCATTTGCCTTTTTAAAAAATTCACCTAAGCAGTTCAGACCATAGACTACTCAGAACATTATTTGACATAATTGTCTAAGAAGTAAATATTTTTTAGTGCATATTAAATCAAATAAAGTGCTCTAAAGAAATTATTATACAGATTCTTTTGGGCTGTTTTTTCTTAAGGGGTGGGGAATAAACAGGAATATGATTCAGACCTTCTGATGGTATATTTAAACAGTATTAATTTTCTTATTATTTACTTTATCTTCTGGCTTTCTTTTAGCTTCTTTTTTTCTGTTGTAAAGCAAGCTTTAAAACATACCAAACTGTTTTATCATTTTATTGAAATTTCAAGTTTGTAAGATTTTTTTTTTAAAGGGGGAAGACAATTTTTAAAATGCTTTTATGTATCCCTACTTCCTTCTTTTCCACAACATCTGTGATTTCAATTCATAAATAGACATGTATCTAAGAGAACATTTTTGGAAAGTGAAGAATAGCAGTATGACTTTGTTTTGTTAAGCCGTTGAGCTCTGTTATTTTGTATTTGTTCATGTGAATCCCTCAGAATTCTTAGGTGTAATAAGTCATAAAAAGGTTCTGCCAAGTGGGAGGGAGAAACAAATTTTATTAAGTAAATATTTCTCAATATCTAGAGCTCTAAAAGATGTGTTCCCTTAAAAGCATTTTCAAATTAGAGTTTTTGTTTCTTTTAATATTAGTTGTTCAATTTATTTTTTGTTTGTTTGTTTTGTTATTTTTTGGTACCGGGAATTGAACTCGGGAACTTGCACTTGCAAAGCAGGTGGCAGAACCACTGAGCTAAATCCCCAGCCCAAATTGTTCAATTTAAAAACCATTTTATTGTCAACATTTAGTAGGCTCCATTTGTATTAACAGAAAATGATTCTTACTGCTGAGGAATTAGTATTACAAAATAGCTGTCAGCCAACCACCATTAAATGAAGATGTTCACTTTAAATTTGGTTGAACCTTTTTCTTGAACACTGATCATTTTTTTCTAAGCTGATTTGTTAAGCTCTAACATAACTGGTTAACAAGTATAAGAATTTAAGTTGACATTCAGTTATTTAATTTGTTTTCCCTGGTAATTTATGTTTTAAAAAGATAAAGACTGAATGTATCCGTTCCTGAAATCAGTTGTTCTGATATGCTCTCATATTTGTATTCTTTGTTAAGAGCTAGTACTTTAGATTTGGAGAAAAGTCTTCATTATACTACAGTATTTCCTTAAAAACTTTCAATATTTTTGCCACACTTTAGTTTACTTCTCCTATCAAAAAAACTTAAGTGTTTCTCAATCTCTTCTGACCTAAATTTGTGTTTTTCAGCACTTGGCTCAGCTGATTCACTGAGTGAAGAAATTGATTTGCAAAGTGCAGTGTGTGAAAATTTCAAAGTATAGGTCGTGCTCTATATAAAAACATCAAAGCATTGCTACAGAGAGATGATAAGACATTAGATCTACCAGTGAAATTGTTCTTTTTGGAATTAGTAAGTTAGTCCTTTCTGACTTCTGTTTCTTACATAAGGGAATTTTAGATAATTTTTGTTTTAACAAGTTTTGAAATTTGTAGTTAAAAATCAAAACAAATAATTCTGTAAAGTATCCAAATTGTAGATTTATCAGTTACCTCAGCAGGTATCCTGCCGTGTAATTATTAGTGATTGGTGTTAATAAGCCTATAGATTCAGGTTTTTCACCTCTGCCCTTGGGTTGTGGCCTACCATATTTTATTGAAGGGTTTCTTACTGTCCAAGTGAGACTAGATGCTCTGGCCCCTTCTTAGCCTTTACATCCTATACCCACCCTTACTTACATGTAACACATAAAATATAAAAATCTTCTTGTCGAAGTCAGCACTGCTCATTTGTGTACTCAACATTGGATCAGTAATTTTATAAAAATCTGCCCACCCAACTCCCTTAATTAAAACAAATTCTTAACTCATACCATGAATTCTTAATTTATACAATTCTTATTAATTGTCTGCTGAAGGTAATTCAAGATTTTTCCAGGTGTATTACAGTGGGATCATATACCAGACCTAGATGTTAATTTTTTTTTTCTCCCAGTTATCTCCTCCTTGATAAAGCAATAACACTGCTTTAAGTCTGTTGCCTAATAGCATGTCATAATCCTCTCCTGGATGGTGATTTTATAGGAAAGTTTGTATGCATATCACCCAGTCTATCTTTTAAAAAATTAAGAAATTTAAATGTATGCTGGAGGTAATGACAATATATTGTGGCATTTTATTTTAAAAATTGGGGAAAGTTGCATATTTTTTTAAAAGTAAGTGTTTGAGTAAGAAAATTGAAGGTACTTTTTTAAGGAAAAAAATTTATATGCCACAGTTTACATAGACATTTCAGATTTCAACATGTACTCTTAGATATAACAGCTTCTTTTGCTTGGCCAAATGCATGTTTTACTCGGTCAAAATGCATTTCTTCCATCTTAGTTTCTTATGTTTGCTTATATAGTCCTTTTTATATTTTTATTGTATCGGAGAAACAAAATTATCTTCAAAACTAAGTCAATTTGGACATATGTGTCATCAAACTACAGAATGTATAAAGTTAAGTTTAGCCCTTTTCAACAAGTGATCTTTAAAAACTGAAAATGCTGCTCTTTTAAATTTACCAAATCTATATTTGGGAAGGCACCAAAATGATTTGTAAGTGCCACTACAATATTCCCATTCAATTATGGCCAAAAGTTCATTCTTAAGAAGGAAATGCATGTCTGCTTCTGATCTGAAAAATGTAGGCATTTACTGTGTTTTAAAACAGTGAAACATGTACATAGCCTATTAAAAAAAAATTGTGCAATTGGAAAGCCTAATTTTTCTACATAGACATACCTACATACAAAAGGGTTAAATTCATAGCCTTACTAGTTCCTTGCTTCCAGTACTTCAACTGGTATCCTCCCCTCATTATTATTATTACTACTGTTATTTTTGCACATAGTTAACTACCCTTCAATATGATTCTTAAAGGAAAAGTGCTGTTTCTGTGATAACGTATTCGCTAAATGATCATATTTAATTTTTTTAAACAAGGTTGCAGTTTCTAATTGTTATGTTCCTGTGTTTTTGCTGGTGTGTAATAAAAGCAAATTTTTTCTTTTCGTGGTTATTTAATACGTTAGCTGCCTGTAAATAATTCTTGTTATAATACTCTGGAATGTGTTGTAGAAGTTGTATTAGATTAGTTTAAAGCCTTGTTTGAAAACCACATTGTTTTGGTTATTTCTATTAAATTAGAAAATTGAAAAAGGTTTGAAATGAATTCCTTTTTTTTTTTTTATTCTTCTTGTGTGAGTTGAGATTTGATCATTTTAATGCATTAAAAAATTTATGCCGGTGCCGGGGATTTAGCTCAGTGGTTTCCCCACCTGCTGCGCAAGCGCAAGGACCCAAGTTCGATCTGCGGTAAAAAAAAAAAAAAAAAAATTCACGCCACGCACTGGAGAACCAGTAGTGAAGAAGATAAAATATTGCCCCATCACTGCAGTCTTTAGACTCTGTTAGAATAATGACTGTTACAGTAGGGATTGACACAGTGTAGTTGGAATACGCAGGAAAGGCTCTAACCAAAGCAATCTCTTTCACTCATAAAAGATAGGACAGTGGCCCAGGCAGAGAGCAGGAAAGAGGATGTAATACTGCAGAAGCCTTTAGGTGAAAGAGAATATGTATATGTTCCAACAATTTTAAAGTTAGTGTTTACCTGCAGCAGTGTAAATTAGAGTGGCAAAATGCTAAACTGAAGAACTGAGCAGGGTCTTCTTCCAGCAGTCTTCCATGTGAAAAGTTTTAGGACTTACACTGAAGCCAACAAGGAGTCTTGTCTGGTTTTGTTGTTTGTTTGTATACAAGGTCTCACTATGTAGTCCAGGCTCGCCTTGAATTCTTGATTCTCCTGCCTCAGCTTTCTTTGTGCTGGGATTACAGGCCTACACCCACCATACCTGGGTTAAAGTCCTTAAAGCAAGATGGGGTGTGGAGGAGTGATATAAGCAGATCTACCCTTTGAGCCATTTTAACTGGGAAGAATGGGTTATGGGGAATCTTGGGGTTGGAGGTACAATTGTAGGCTGTAAGTAATCCAGGAGAGCCTTAAACCAGCTGCCTGAAAGTGGAATTGAGAATAATAGTCAAGTTTTAGATTTAGAAAGTAAAGTAGACCAGTAATTGAAGCAAGGTATTTGCTTGCACTTTTAGGAGAGTAGAGGTGGAAAGAATTGACTCTGAGTAGAAGGGAGAGAGTTCATTTTGGGATGTGTTGAGTTTGAGGTATAGGTAGGAAATTAAGGTGCAGGAGTCTGTTCTGGTGCTCCTAAGAGACCCTCAGTGGGAGATAGAGCCCACTTTATCAGAAAAGGCCATCAGTTAGGGATCACATCTGTTTTTACTCATCACTGAATAGTCTCAGCATGTGGTAGGCATTTAGTAAATGTCTGCATTGAGCCATTAACATAATAGGTGGTAACTCAAGGTAAGTGATATTGCTGAGGAAATGTATATAATGAGAAGAGTAGAAGGATTAAAAGTGCAGATGAAAAAAAGTAAGGGCTAGGAAAAGAAAATCCTTAAAAGAGACCTATGAATCATACAGGTTGGAGGAAAGCAAGAGAGTGAAAATGGAAGACCAGAGAATAGGGTTTCAAGAAGGGGTGGGGTATTAGTAATATTGAGTATTGACAGATAAAGTGACCATTGAGTTTAGCAATATACCATGGATAACTTTGGTAAGATTTGTTTCGGATTGAGCAACAAGAAGGCCATCAGTTACAGATGAGTGAGGAATGGATGGAACAACTGAGTATAAACTGTTCTTCCAAAAATACAGAATTTAAGCCATGAATGACCAAATAGAACATCAGGATGGAAATTTCTAATTGTTATTCTTCTAGATTTCTTTCGAGTAGCCATCAAAACAATAGGTTTTAGCCATTGTACAGACTTTAATTTGAACCTTAGTTTTGCTAGTTACATATATGAACTGTCTGAGTTTCATTTGGCTTATCTTTGAAATGAGGATAATCGTGTCTACATTATAGAATTTATTATCAAGATGAATTTAGGTCATTCATAGCACAGGGCTGATACATAGTTCTTAAACATTTAGTGTCCTTTTTCTTCTGTCACCATGAAAATGGGCCAGTTAAAAAAGTAATTTCTCTTTTTGTTTGTGTTTATGTTGTTTGTTTGTGAGTTAGGGTCTTGCTGTGTAGTTCAGTCTGGGCTTGAACTCACAGCCATCCTCCTGCCTCGGTCTCTTGGGTGCTAAGATCACAGATGTGCATCACCACACCCAGCTTTGTCCTCAACTTTTGAAAGTTAATGTAATTCTACATTAATTTAATTGATTCTTAGAGATTCCAGGAAACACCCTTAGTAGACTTCTGGATTTTAGGGAATAAAAATACAAAAATGAATTGGTAATTGGAGGATTTGTCTCAAGCTTCCCCTTTTCATATAACCTGGTCTCATATTCTTTGATTTGTAACCTTATGGTGGTGGGAAGGCAGTCATACATAGGAATATTTGTTTCTGACAGGCTGTACGCCCTGAGAAACCATCCTGATTGTATGCAATACTTGAAATGCTGTATACATTCCATTTGTTAAAATCTTTAAATTATATAGTCAGAGTTTTAACCTATACCATCTTTGTAACATTTTTGCCAAAAACATTTGATCTGAATCTGATCTTGTAAAAATCATTAAAGCTGGAAGGTAGGACTTCTGTAAGATCCCTGGTCTGTGTTCTTGAAAAAAATTGAATGTGCAAACAGGTGAGGAAACTGTTCTAGAGAGAATCAAGTGTAATATATGAACTTGAATTTGTTTTTGAATTACATAAATCCATGTTAGGGTCCTTTCAGAAAATTTGCATATAAACTCATGAAATAATGTTTAATTTTCTTATTTATGATGGCGTTTTGCTTGTACAGAAGACTGTTTTGGAGATGCATGCTGAAATTATACGAAGTGCCGTTCTGTTTGCTGCTTTCCAGTGGTTATGCAGGTGTGTTTGTGCAGTGAGAGTGGAAAACATGAAAAGCTAGGCTCTGTGGGGCACATTTGCACTTCCAGCAGCTTGGGAGCTTGAGGCAGGAGGAGTGACTGGGCAATTTAGTGGCTTAGGTCTTTAAAACAAAACAAAAAATAGCTCAGTGTGAAAACCTTGGGTTCAGTACCCAGAAACATACAAGGTAATGCAAATGCAACAATAACATCTCGAGTTTTTTGTTTGCTTTTTGGTTTTTTGAGACAGAATCTCACTATATAGGCAAGGCTGGCCTTGAAATCAAAATCCTGCCTCAGCCTCCAGGGTGCTGAGATAGGCATGGACCACCATATCCAGGCTCTTGAGGCTTAATGAAGTGTACATAAATATTTAATAATACTGTTTCTGTTTCTTTGTAAACTTGAAAATTTTTAAAAATTAAAAGTAGTGTGGAATTGAATAAAAAGTCATAAATCCAGAGAAGTAACTGTATTACAGAGAATATTGCTCTGAGGCCTTTGACAATCCTTTGTACTTTAACATTCTTGGAAAAGTCTAAATTCCATATGAGAGACAAAGCCTAGCAGCCAGCATTAAGTGTGAAGCCAGAATGAGACACCCTTCCAAAACCTGGAACTTCAAAAGATGATACACTCAGTCAGTGAACCAGAATGTCCTGCCTCGGAGAGAAGAGTAAGAAAACTGGATGAAGTAAAGAAGAAAAAATAAATTCACCCAGAACTTTATCCCAGGCTGACAAGCCACTTTGGAACCTAACCTATGCTACTTACATGTTTAGAAAAATTAAGTCAGTGGGGTTTGAAGTGACCTGGGTATTTAATAGAAACAAATTGCTTTCATAAGGAGAGCTGGGGCTGGGGATTTAGCTCAGTGGTTCTAGTGCCTGCCTTGCAAGTGCAAGGTCCTGAGTTCGATCACTGGTACCAAAAAAAAAAAAAAACCCACATGAGAGCTGTTTACACTTAAAAGAGTTTTCAGTGTCCTAGTTAAGTGTGCACATTGGCAAAGTTATAAAAATGACATTGTAAATAAACAGGATCTGACCTGCAGACTGCCAGGTATTGGAGTTACTGGATGAGTATGTTCAAAGACAGTATTAAAAGTGCTTAACATCTCTTAAGTTGCAGGGACAGTACAGTACTGATCTGGCACCCCCACCCCAGTACTGGGAATCAAACTCATGGCCTTGTGCATGCTGGGCAAACAGTATCTATAACTAAACCCCCAGCTCCTGGCATGAAAGTGATGTGTCTTTTGATAAGGGATGGCTTAGATTTGATGAAATACATATTAAGCTGAAGGAAATATCCAAAAAATGAAGGAACAAGATACCTAAATTTAATAGAGGTAGGAGACGTACAGGGCAAGAATGTAGGGTAAGAAAAGTAATCAGATTTGAAAACAACATCTAGACATGAAAAGCAAAACATTAGATAAAAATAAGTCAAAATGAAAGAAACTAAACAATGAAGTATAGAGAATGTATGAAAGATGTTAAAAAGATCACAATATTTTTGGGTGGGGTACTGGGGATTGAACTCGGGATCTTGCAGTTGCAAGGCAGGCAGCAGAACCACTGAGCTAAATCCCCAGCCCATATAGCAAGAATATTTTGAGGAGGTCAGTGAACATGTAGGAAGAGTATGAGTACCTGAAAGACATTATAGACAGAATGGTTAGGGATGATGTTTGAAAGTTTGAGGTTAGGACAAGAGTTTTCCAAATAAAAGAAGGCTTAAGAGCAGGTAGTATGATGTTTACTTTGCAGCAATAAAAACCAGAAGAGAGTAGAGATATTTTATGTACAGAATGGAACCTGTCGAGAAAACAGGGCAAGGACATTGTGGATAAAAAGTGAAGACTTCCTATCAATATATCCTCATTAAATGAACTTTGACAGTTGCTCCAGCAAAAAAAGAGGATCAAAAATAAAATCTAAAAGAAGAGATGGTGAGCAACTACAATAGTAAATGAGAGTAGACCGAGCTCTAAACTGTCAATTTTGGTTAAGAAATAAGTCACTTTCAGGGAGACAGTGCAAGAAGCTCTGCTTAGCTACTCCCCAAGGAAACATGAAAATTACTAAAACAAACATGTAAAGCCACTGTAAATGGTCCTGTGTACAGATGTCAAAGAAATTCTATTCAAGAAAATTTACGAAAATTACATAGGCAATTTGTCTGGTACCTGAACCTGGATGACTTCTCCCTCCATGCTTAGCAGTATGGAGACTCCAGGTAAC